GCGGGCAGCCACCTGGTCGCCTGTCCCCTGAACACGAGAAGCCGCCCACCGCGGTGACGGCTGTGTGGGACGCTGGCCCAGCACGAATGGCCTGCACCACCCTGAGGGGACGAAATGGGGTGGGGGGTCGAACCGAGTGTCCGCCGACCGGCACACGCATCTGCTCTGGTGCCAGCCACCCCCGTCCGCCCGACGTGTCTCCAGCTGCCACTGCCATGTCTGCCTGGGCACAGCCCCTGTGCGGTCGACACGCGCGGATGCTGAGTGGACGAGGGCGGGAGGCAGCCAGGACCCAGGCAGACCCTGCCCCGGCGCCTCCTGTCCACGTCATCGGTCCGTCCCAGAACCGATGGGCCCCAGAGGGAGCGCGTCACACTGGCCCTGGGTGCCCCGCAGTAGCCGCTGGGGCCTCTGACCGAGCGGCCTGAGGCAGGGACCTGTGATGGACACAGGAGGCCAAGGCGGGATAGACCAGAAGTGGGTCCCAGCGTCGGGGTGACCGGGACCCACAGGAGTCAACTCAGAGGGCCCCGGGGGGGCAGCTCTTCCTTGCTGGTCAGAGTCCGGGCGTGGGCTCCAGGGGACGGCCAGAGGCTCAGGGCTGCCGTCCCCACCCCCGGCTTCGAGGGAGAGCCACTCCCTGGGGAAGCCCCTCTGCACAGTGCCGGGCTGGGACTCGGTCCAAGGAGCTTTCAGAAATGAAACTCGTGACTCACAAGGGAGAAGCGGGACCTGCCGGCGACGTGGGGACCCCGAGGGGCTGCACGGGGGCGGGGGCTCCGAGGCTGGGACGGCACCGAAGGTGTCTGCTCAGCGGGCAGCCCAAGGGGGGGGCCCTGCTGTATGGGAACTGTGCCCGCGGGGGGCCGCGGGGTCGGCAGCCCAGGAAACGCCTGTGGCCGGTGCAGGGTGCGGGCACCCGCACCAGACAGACCCCTCAGGCTGCTGCCCTGCCTGCTGAGCTCACGGAGAATCCGGGGCACGCGGCAAACCCCTGACCCCTCCGTTCTCCTCTTAAAGTCCAAGTCAATCCCGTGGCTTAACGTTAAAGCTTCAAAGATATCTGGGCCTAACGGGAACTGAGATAAACATACTAGACACTGAGAAACGAGTTCGAGGAAAATCTGAATCACGAAGCTCGCAAAACTTAGCGTGGAGCTGGCGGCCGGGCGGCAGCGATGT